TTGGGCTCCACACCCAGTGTGGGGAGAGAGAGAGAGAGAGAGAGGAAGGAAGGAAGGAAGAAAGGAAAGAAGGAAGGAAGAGAAGGAAGGAAGGAAGGAAGGAAGGAAGGAAGGAAGGAAGGAAGAGAAGGAAGGAAGGAAGGAAGGAAAGAAGGAAGGAAGAGAAGGAAGGAAAGAAAGAAAAGAAAAAAAAGAAAAGAAAGAAAAGAAGAAAGAAAGAAAAAAGAAAAGAATGAAAGGAAAGACAGAAAGAAAGAAATCTTGAGCTTGAAAGGGAGACTCAGAAGGACAAGCCAGAGAGGAAAACTGGGAAGAGGCAACATTCCAGCAAGAAAGCCAAGGAAAGAGAGTGTTATAAAGGAGAGGAAGGTGTGATCACTGGTGCCACATCCTGCTGAGAGCCCAGGATGGGGACTGGAAAGACTCATCAACAGAGGCTGCTGAGGACCTTATCATTAACTGTTTCAGGGGCCAGTGAGGACAGAATTCAAATACAAGTGGGCAAGGGATGAGTGCAAAACGAGGAAGTAGTGACCAAGAACGTAGGCCATCCTTTGGAAAAACTCAGCTCTAAAGGGGAGAAGTACAGGGAGGTAGTTTGAAGGCGGTATGAAGTTGACTAGTACGTGGAAAGAGTTGGGATTTAAATCCAGTTCTGACTCCACATCTGAGTCCTAATAATCACTGCTTCTGAACCACCCCTGCTGCTGTTTCTCTGAGTCTACACTGGTAATCCATAAATCTCTCTTTCCTCTTCTCAATAAAAACTACTCACATGAGGCTCATCTACAGAAGAAAGTTCTGGAAATTTTGAGTATTTCAATGCAAAATCTAACTACCCCTTGGGTTTGTGTTGGGCTCTAAGATCTCCAGAGACTGGCACTTGCACAATCTACTTTCCTCCATAGAATACCTGTAAAATGAGTTAAGCAGGGTGGTCTTATTGTGGTCTTATGGGTGAGGGAACTCAGTCACTGAGACATTTATGGCAGAACTGGCACAAGAATCCAAGACCTCTAATTCGTAGTCCAGGGTTCTTGCTACTTTACCACACTTTGCACAAGAAGGTTTCACCCCTAGAACCACCACCACTGAAACGCTCTCCTCTTTATTTTTTTTTTAAAGATTTTTATTTATTTATTGAGAGAGAGAGAGAATGGTAGAGAGAGAGCATGAGAGGGAGGAAGGTCAGAGGGAGAAGCCGACTCCCCGCTGAGCAGGGAGCCCGATGTGGGACTCGATCCCAGGACCCCGGGATCATGACCTGAGCCGAAGGCAGTCGCTCAACCAACTGAGCCACCCAGGCGCCCCGCTCTCCTCTTTAATAAAACCATTAGTAACAGTGGCAGAAAGAGCAGTGGTGCCTGTTGTTTTAACTGTCACAGTAGAGTTTACAAAGCCTTGCCAAATATATTACCTCATTAAAATCAAAACAAATTCTCAAAGGTACCCAGGGCTGGGCTCTCTCAGAGCTACTACTCCATGTTCTGATGAGGCACAAGTTCATACAATGATGCATGTTGGAGCTGAGATTTGAAACCAGATCTCTGAACTCCAAATCCAGTGTTCGGGTTTGTGGTTTATAAATGCTGGATCCCTTCAAGAATCTGATGAAAGTTATGGCCTCTCTTCACAGAAAATTATGCGTCAGCATACAATCAACAAAACTGCACACAATTAAGGGGCTCATGGATGATCTAGATGTAGGAACCCCTGCTCTGCATAGGTTACGTGGTCTCTAAGCCAAACAAAGTGTTAGTTGATGAAATTCAACGTGTGATCCCTCTCAGTGGTAATGGTGTTTTAACTAGAGATTCCTGGAAGGGAAAGCTCGCGAAGCTTTTCTCAAACTCCTGGTCAGGATCATGTCCTCTCTACACCCTGATGATAAACAGCTTATATTCTAGTACCGTATGCATCTCATTCTGCTCTGTGCGGGTGCCTCCCCTATTAGGATGGAAATGTCTAACATAAGTGAGTTACAGCAACCAGAACAATAAATTCTATCATGACTACTCTCATTGAACACTTATAACAGCTTGACACTTAATTGTCACCATGTGCCACCCACTATTCAAATTCATTTAATTTTCTCAACCACTTTATGCAGTGTTTACTATTATTATTTCCCTTTACAGTGAGGGACTAAGGCACAAAGAGGTTAAGTAAATTGCCTAGGGTCACCTAGCTACTAAGGGGTGAAGTTGAGACACCAGCAGTTTGGCCCCAGAGTCTAGGATATTAACCTCCACCTTAGACTATCTCTCATTTTCCGTGTACTGGCTACATGGGGTTTCTCTGTTAATATAAAATACCTTACTTTTCTAAAAAGCCCAGCAATGAAGCATTATTATCATAAAGAATCTGAAAAATAATGGACTTCATTTTGAAACAATTTTAGATTTACAGAACTTACAAAGAATATACAGACTTCCCTTATACTCATCATCTAAATACAATATTATTAGCTATTTACACTTTGGTAAATAGCTTATTTGAATGTTGACAGTTTTCCCTGACTCATGTCCTTCTTCTAGTCCAGGATCTAAACCATGATCACACTTTGTTTTTGTCTCCTCCAATCTGGGGCAGTTCTTTAGTAATTCCTGAAGTTTCATCATCTTTTGAAGAATACTGGCTAATAATTTTGTAGAATGCACCTTGGTTGGGGGTTGGCCGATGTGTTCTCATGTTTACACTGAGGTGATCCATTTTTGGCAAGAGCCTTATAGAAATGATGTCGTGTCCTTCTTGGTGCATCATGAAAAGAGGTGAGAGAGATCTCATTGCCGGTACTGTTGAGTTTGATCATGTGGGGGAGGTGTTGTCTGCCAGATCTCTCCCCTGGGAAGTTACTATTTTTCCTTTGATAATAATGGGTACCTTACAGCAAGATACTCTGAGACTATGCACATATCCCGCTCTGCATCATACTTTCACTAATTTCAGCATCTCTTTGGGTGATTCTCCTTTGTAACAAGTATTACTATAGTGTTTGCCTAATGATAATATTCTAGTTCCATTATTTCCTCCACATTTATTAATTTCAAGTACATGGTCCTTGCAGTAGATAGGAAGATCTGCCCTTTCTTCCCATTTATTTCTTCATTAATTTCCTTCTATCAGAATGGCCTTGGGGAGTCACTGTATTCCAGCATTACTTATTCTGTTGATCAAAGTTTTTTTGTCCCCAAAGGCCACAGAAAGATTCTTAAAGCTGGCTCCCATGCACTTTGGCAATTCTTCTTCGAGTAGTTTCTTACTTTCACCTTTTTACAAAATGTTCATGTATGTTCCCTGCCCGTGCCCTGGAATCGGCCATGTTCCTAATTCCTTTTCAGCAGAGCATAGTATTTAAAAACCAGGATCTGGTGCGGGGTGTGCACACTGCTGCAAGGGGTCACTGTTTCCAGACCACCCCAGCAGAGAGCACAGGGAATGTATGTAAGCGTCCTCACACAGAGATACACACACTGCATTGGGTTCTCTCTATGGCTACACCTCTCTCTGTATACAGCTATCCCTACGCACGTATGTGTAAAATCACAAGTTGATTCTAATACCTCCTACTTCCACCCACTGCCATAGGGTTCATTGTAACCTTTCCCTTTCCCTATTTAAGAGAAACCTGGCTCTCATTATCCACAACATATTTATTTATTTGCTTAGCTGTAGTATATACATAAAGGATTTCCAGAAGAGCTAATCCAGACATTTATGAAAAACAAATTTAGGAATTAGAGTATAATACTTAAAATTTTTTAAAGATTTTATTTATTTATTTGAGAGAGAAAGGGAGACAGAAAGGGGGGGGGAGAAGGGGAGAGAGAGAGAAAAAGCGACAGAGAGAGAGAGCACAAGCAAGGGGAGGGGCAGAGGGAGAAGGAGAAGCGGACTCTCCACTGAGCATGGAGCCCGACGCAGGGCTTGATCCCAGGACCCCGAGATCAGGCCCCGAAGGCAGATGCTTAACTGACTGAGCCACCCAGGGGCCCCAGAGTATAATACTCATATACAGTCATTTTATCTTCAGCCATACATTATACTATCAAAATATTCTTTCCCAAAGTTACTAGGTTAGTTTTTTTCTTTCCCAAATCTTTCTTATTGTGGTTATGTTATTCATTATTAATACAATAGGTTGAGATTTTGCTAATTGTATTTCATTTTGCCCACTCCCACCACACATACATCCTGGTATCTGTCTATCTATCTACCTACCTACTTACCTCCCTATCTATCTACCTATCTACCTACCAACCTACCTACTTACTATCTAACCTACTTACCAATCTACCTTCTATATATTTTCAAGGGGCACGTGAAACATCACCATGGTTCTAAGAATTACAGTTATATAAAAAGATCTACTCAGAAAAGTACTATCTCCACCTCTTACTCTGTTCTCACTCCCCCATTTTTCCATCCCATTCCTACCCACCACCTCTAGGTAACGAGTCTCACCAGTTTCTGGTTTGACCTTCCTGTATTTCTTTTGCACAAATGAGTAAATGCAGATATAGTTTCTTATTGTCACCTTCTTTCTCCACGAAAGGAAGCATAACTGTAAATACTCCTTTACGTTCTTAACACTATATCCTAGAAATCACTTCATATCACTTATTATCCTCTGTTGTAGAGGATGAAGAAATGGGTGTAAAGAGGTTGGATAACTTGCCCAAGGTCACACCCCTCGTAATGAGCAAAGCTGGATTTGAGCCCAAAAAGTGTTGACTACAAAATCCACATTCCTTCCACTACATCGGAGTCTCTCATCCATGGTTCCTGGCATATTCTTTGGGACCTCTAGTTTCTTTGAGTTCTCTGTTTGAAAATTAATATATGTACATCCTGGATCATCTGGATGACTGTCTTATAACCCAACACTGCCGGGCATTCTCATCACCCAAAGGAACTGAAAATCACCCAGCTGCCTAAGGTGAATGCCGTCATGGAGGATTGCAGGGGAGGCTGTAGGGGGACGGGGGGGCAGCAGGTACCTGGCTGTGGCCTTGGCTTGTAGTTCAGGGAAGGCAGCATGGCCCTGCACCATGTGGTCTATCTGAAAAACAAGAGAGATGGGTCAGTCTTACAGTTTTTCTGATTTATGTTTAAGCCAGAAAAAGATATATTAAAATGTCGGTTTCTTTCAACTCTGTCCATGGAGGATCTAAGAATGTTAACGTGCTAACTCCACTAGAGTGTCTGAGCTCTTTCAGAAATTTAGCTTTGCTTCACCTAGTGCTGGTCTCTTGATCCACAAAACAGAGCAGTCTAAAGAAAAAGGTGCAGGAAATGAAACTCTCAAGGCTAAACTGGTAGCAACAGGTCCAAAATGGAGGCGTGAGGATAGGAGTGAGAAGGAGTAACTCCAGGTATGTGGTGAAGGGCCTGGGTGTTTAAAGCACCAAGCTCTGGATCACACCTTTTCAGCCTCCTGATCCAGGCTGTTACCCCAGGGCAATGTCAGACCTTGAATTACTCACCCTGCCTTACTAATGGAGAAGCAGAGTGAAAGAGGTGAGGAAGAGGGATTACCAGTTCAAAAACCAACAACAACAAAAAGTTGCCCTAGAACTGTTCAGAGGACCTCTCCTGATTGACAAGTTATCACAGGAGAAACTGGGACATCACTCTCCTAGGACAGAAATGTCTAAGCTCTGTGGATAACTACCTTCTTCTCATTTGAAATCCCGTGTCTAGGATTTTATTTCTTAATCTACTTGGTAGCTCTAAACAAAATAATACATAATAGTATCAGGAAGGGAAATGTTTCCCCATGATGCTCCCCTGCTTGCTAAAATACCCCCAACACACTGCTTGTGTTCCTGAACCTAATCTGGTTGTCTTCCCAATGTTCACATGAGTCTCTAGGACTCCAAAGCCATTTTTCATTCAGACTACGAACCAATTGGTTATTTGGGCCTCCTGGAAATAGTCTCTCTAAGCGTGTTTCCTGACAGCCGGGGCTGTGTAAAGGGGAAGAGAATTTTTTCTGGAGCCACAGAGGTCAGGTCTGGATTCTGGCTCTGATACTAACTAGCTGTGTGACTGTGTAAATCACTACACTACTCTGAGCCTCAATGGTCTCCTTAGCCCTCCCCCCAGCCTCCCTTTAAAACAGGATTGCTGGGCTGTAGAAGGTGTCGGCCATAATGACAACAATAGTATAAATACTATCACCTAAAATTTCCTGACTCATTTACCATATATCAACACTGAGCTAAGCATTTTACATACATGATCCCATTTATTCCTTACGCGATTCCTAGGAAAAGGGTACTCTTCTCTACTATAGAGATGAGAAAACTGAGTTTTCTCAAAAGAGAGTAAGCAACTTGTCCAAGGTCGGTCACAGGGGTAAGTGACAGATCTAGGTTTCCAGCTGAGGTCTCTCTGTGCCTAAAGTCCTTGGTTCTTAACTACTGTGCCATAACGTGCAGGTATATGCTGCTGAATTCCATTGGTACAGTTATGCAGAAATGTTCAAAATGATACCAAAGCCACTGGTCATTTCGATGAGAAAAAGCTATGCAGGTTTGAAATATTAACTTCCTACAGATTCAGTTTTAGGTGACTGTGATGAGGCAGGTTTGGACCTTAAAGAGTTTGCATCAGTAGTGGATAATTAAAGGCATTCCTCAATTTGATGCTGATCTCTACGGGAAACACTTTCAGAGTTCAGAGCAGGGACATTTACATGAGCATCCAGTGGGAAGCACAGAACCTAGCCTGTGCAGTGTGTGCATGAACGTAGTTTTCTGTATTTACTAAATGCCTAATGCATTCACTGTGTCTAGGCTCCGGGAATACAGTGGAAAGTAAGAAATACAAGACATATAATACATAGTTACATAAAGTAAGAGGTCAATAATTTGGGGGAGGTGAGGTTTCAGTTGAGAGGCTGAGAACAGGTAGCTTGGAGGAGCAGGAAGCGAGAGCCAAGGCATGCCGGAGAGGAGGCTGAGATGGAAAGACATATATGGGTGCAGACAGTAGGGAGATGGGCCAAGCCCCGTGCCTGGCATATCAGAGCTGGGCAGTAAATATTTCTGGGATGGTTGTGGGATGCATCAAGCATAATGGAGGCACACCACATGCTCACACAGGACCAGGTACTTCTTGGACACGATCACACACTTGTCATTTGTGTCTATTTGTGTGGGGCACACTTCAGTCATATCTAACTGTTAAATTAGAGAATAAATGGAGTAGTGAAGAGAGTGGATGAATGAGGAGGGTGGGGGCAGACAGCGGGTCATGAAAGCCAGGTAAGTGTTTATAGTTTTATTGGATTAGAGGCCATGAAATTATTTTGATCTGGGGAGCAGGATGATGAGAAGTTAAGAAAAATGAGCCTGGTGGGGTATGCAGGACAGAGAGAGAGCTAGGCACAGAGGAGGGCAGGAAATGTAGCCAGGGCTCAGAGGCTGAGGGTGAGAACACGAGGCAAAAATATTTCCTGTTCTTGCTCCACTGTAGCACTTAGCAGGTTTTTTTTTTTTTTTTTTTTTTTTTTTTTAATAATCATTAGCTTATATGTCCATCTTTACCCTATACTCTGAGCTCTTTTAAATCAAGAGCCCCATTAGTTCCCAATCCCCAGTGTCTACATTAGAGCCTGGCACCTTGAATGAATAAATGAGATATATTTGGAAGAAAACAAATTTAGTGGCTAACTAGAGAACATTAGAAAATCAGTCGAGAAAGATGTTTGGGATCTAAGACAAGGCAATGTGGCCAAATGAATCACATCTTGTTATTTCTGGTACCTCTGACGCTTTGAGTCTGTGGTCTTATTGCCCCTGGAGAGACTGCGCCTGGCAGGGCTGGCAACTCCTAGAGATAGCAAAGGACTCAATTCATCTATGAGCATGCCTTTCATGTGCAAGCTAACTACTCCAGAGCCTACCTACCCCCACCTCCTCTATGGACTACTGCTACCCTGCTCTAAGCACCCCAGGGCTGGGTATCAGAGAGCTAGGGACAACGCTGGGGCTTCCCATGTGGCCCCGCATGATGGTATGGCGTGCCCCCTCCTCTTGAGAACGCTGAGCAACAAACTATCCTTTCAGTGGCCATCATCCCCTAATCTGTTGGCCTCATTATATGGGAATAATAATAAAATCTACATTTTACAACAGTGGCTTAGTGAAAAGAACACAGGCTTTGGAAACAGACAGACTCAGGTTCAAATTCATGGTCTACACTCATCTTCTGTGGTACCAAGGAAAAATTACTTGACCTCTCAGACTCATCTCCTACAACTGTAAAATGGTGATAATAAAATTCGCATTGCAGGGGTGCCTGGTATATAGGTGGCTCTCAGTTCATAACATCTATTATTAAAAAGAAGGGCATGCCACCAAAAGAGCAAAAATGGTTGGGAGAACAGAATCTCAAATGGACAGCTGTGCCTTTTTCTTCCCCCCAGCAACATCTGGTAGTAAAGGCCCACTCTGGTTAGCAAAGACCAAGTCAGTTTTTCAAATAATCGAGCACTCATTTCAAAAGCCTGGAATGCCTGATGTTAGGGTTGATCTCTCTATTTATGTTCTATTCTCGAATGCATTTAGCATGGTATAGAACACAGTGTCCTATTAGTGGTTATTTGTTTCTCAGTGAAGTAACAGTTTAACCACAATGACGGTATTTGCCAACTGGCTGCCTTAGAAATATATAGACAGAGCTCCTCTAACTTTATGATTACTTTCTTATTTCCTCCATCTTCTCAGATTTCAGCTCTGAGAGCAAGTAGAAAAGTGTACAAACGATATGGATAGGTAGGAAGCTTGAGCTGGATTGAGTCAGATCTTCTTCAGGATGGCTTTCTAAATCAAGAGGGAAAAGCCGCCTTATGATATACATCTAGGGTTGGATTTTTAGGTCCTTCCTTATAAAGGTGGCATCTGCATTTGCAACATGGGAGAAACAGAAACACAACACAGTATAACACAGAGATCATAAACGGGTAGTATGAGGGGACATCTGGCCCACAGATGTATTTTATTTGGGTTATATAATGTTTAAAAAAATCAGCCAATATTTTTAAATTGGGAGATTCCACTTAAAATCCAGATTTTGGTTTCTCCCAAAGAACCAGCATATGCAGGACACTGGGCCACCCATATTCCCCCATGGCAAGAGTCAGCTGGAGCCGAGTGATGACTAATCCCTTCAGACAGGACTGCACCCTTCAGTATGTAGAAGACACCACTGCTCCCCACCCCTCCAGCCCCAACAACAGACACCAGATTTCACCAATTTCTCATCATGACTGCACGAATGTTTTACTTGTAGGAGAGATCTATTTCTCTACACTCAACTCTCTATGAAAGAAAGGAACATAAAATCATTCCCTAGAGTGCCATGAGTTGAAAGAAAAACTTCTCTATCAAAGTAAAAAAAAAAAAAAATTTGTTTGCCTAATCTGTTTATGCTATCTGTCTGACTCCTTTAGGCATTTGAGTTTCCGACTCTTGAAATGACGGAGAGAACAGAGACAGGCAGTCCTGAGACCTGAGTCAGTTCTGGCTCAGGGAATGACCTTAAACAAGAACATTTCTTTCTTTCTTTCTTTCTTTTTTTTTTGGTTAAGATTTATTCTTTATTTTTCCTAAGAGATTTAGTTCTTTCTCTACAACATTTAATAAATTAACATGACAAATAGCCAAGTGTTTGGAAAATTAGACAGAGGACTGCAATTGCCTGAGATCTCAAAACTGTGCACACAGAGTCCATAGGCAAGAAAAACACATGACAAAGACAAATTCAGAATCCCAGAATTTTAGATTCTATGATCATTTTGCTGAGACAAAGCTATTTTATGGCATGATGGGCTTTTTTTCCTATTAAAACCAATTTTATGTATTAGTCTCAAAGCTTTCACCTTGCTTTGCAGATAATGAAATCATTAGGCTCAAGGAAATGTTTCTTGCTTATCACAACTCCCTTTTGCCATTTGTATTTACCTGCAAAGTCACTTTTTTCATCTCAGTTCTTCCAACTCTTTTACTTAACTTCATCTTCTTATCTTAAAGTGAAAACATTTTATCTCATTTT